TACCACCGTCTGCCTTATAAGTGACTTTACCTGTTGAGTCCGGTTATCTGTGGGTCATGGGTCAGGGTGGGCATGGGTGGTGAGTCAGGGTGGGCGTGGGTGGTGAGTCAGGGAGAGTTGAGAATTTGGGTTAAAATGGGCGGTTTTTTGAGATCAGGATGGGGGTAGGGGGCGGTGGTGTGTGGTCATGGGCGGTGGTGGTGTGGTGTGGGGTGGTACGGGTAGCGTGGATTAGTGATGTATCATAGCACTTATTTCCCAGTTTTTCAGCCATATTATATAAAGTGTGTGTGTTTGTTTATAAAGTTGCATATTAACTATATCCATCCTCTGTCTATCACTCCTGTCTATATGTATGTATCTATCAATATATTCATCTATTGTTCACCCGTCTACCCGTCTACCTCCCTCTACTTCTGTTAGGGGTGACTCAGGGGGCAGGGGGACAGAAGCCTTAAAAAAATAGACAGAAATAATAGTGTGTGTTGCAAGAAAAATTTAGAAAGTGACAGTAAAGCGCCAAGACAACAAGTAGAAATATCCACACACACACACACACATACACACACACACACACACACAGACACACACACACACAGACACAGACACACACACACACACACACACACACACACAACACACACACACACAGACACACACACACACAGACACACACACACACACACACACACACACACACACAGACACACACACACACACACAGACACACACACACACAGACACACACACACACACACACACACACACAGACACACACACACAGAACACACACACACAGACACACACACACACAGACACACACACACACACAGACACACACACACACATATACACACACACACATCACACGCACACACACACACACACACACACACACATACTTGTTCATATCCTCAACTTACACACGCAGTATACAAGTGTATAAAGTGACAGTAAATACTCTATACAACATACACTATACAGAATACAGACAGAATCCACTTAATAAACTGTCAAAAAGGTAATTAAACCCATTTTTGGAACTGACTGACAGAATCTAAGGTTGTGTTTACATACGTTAGTTCTAAGTTACGTTGCGAGGTGGCATTAGTAAGAGTCATTTATTTATTAGTTAATGATGATAATATAACGTGTATAGGAGTTAATGTTTCTTCTAAAATATATTTTAAGTTCCTTGGATTTTTTTTGTTCTCTATTTATTAAGGTCATGGTTAAGGTCTCGCAGTTTTATTTCCCGTAAGATTAAGTTTCTATCCAGTTGTTTTGTTTACATTCTTGCGTCTCCTTGGGGGGTGAGGAGGCCAGTTGGCGTCAGTAGGCCTATTGTGTGGGAAGATTCGCGTCAAGTGTGTGAAAGTGTGAGGTCATGAGTGAGTGTCAGAGGTCGGCCTATTGTACGGGAAGATATGTCAGGGCTGAGAAATCGCCATGAGGTGTATATCGGGAGGAGGGATGGGTGGGAGGCGGGAGGCGTTGGGAGGCCGTCCGTGGCTTGGGTCCTCCCCTGGCTGTTGTAGTCAGTGTTGAAGCAACGTGGCGGGCGACGGGTGTGTCTCTGTGTCGCTCCTCACAACCCACAACAACCCCCTCCTGCAACACCCAACCCGACCCTCTCCTCCTCCTCGATCTCTACCCCCAAGACCCCATACAACCCTCCTCCTCCAACCTTCTCTACCACTCCTCCTCCAGTACATGTGGAGTGTGACCTCTCATGTCCACTATGGATTTTACCTGAGGTCTCTCCCGGGTCATGGCAGATTATTACACTGCAGTGGTTCATCGCCGCCGACCTGAAACACCGTCACCTTGACATGGCATCGTTAACTTCACCACCACTTGAGGAATTTCATTATCTTGAGGTTATTTTTTAAATCCTACCGGAGATTTACGTCATTGGTGGAAGACAAAGTCGGTGGAGGATTGAGGAGTGAGCACGGTAGGATATCAGGAGCAGCTCTGTGTGTGTGTCAGTACGTGAGTTATGACTGAACTAGGGAGTGACCACGCACCACCACCACCACCTACAGACACCAAGGATGTGTTGTCCATCAGGATGACATCTCTGACCTCACTCTTACACATCTTCAACCTCGTCAAGGGTGAATGTTGTGGCCCCGGACACACGGCCACGACCTCCTGCCAGTAACAACTATGGCCACGGCCTTAAGCTCCCCACGACGGCGAGGATCATCTTTGTGAGGCGGAGATAATACCTGTAGGAGTAGACGTGGAGAGGAATTAGTCGAGCGAAACACACTTAGGAGGGAAAGATTTTAACTGGCGTAATGGGTGAGGTAAGGAGGCAGGTGTCACGGTGCTGGGTGACGGGGCCCTCCTCCCCTCCCCTAGCAGTCTGTTCCCTACCCTCCTGCCGAGGATCACAGTGCCTTACCTATACTTCATGCCAAGATTATAGTGCCTCACAGCCTTCAGGATAGTGATACAGTGCCGCTCCTCCGTGTTGTAGTTGACCTTTTTTACTGCCACAAGAGAAGCGATTGTGAGTTCAGTGTTGAGGGAAGTGGTCAAGGAAGTTAGGTGAGCCAAGGTGTTAGTGACGTGAGGTGTCTAGTGCTCACCGCGGCCGCTCTTGTCAAGCATCTGGTATTAACCTTGAGAGAGTGAGGAAAGTATTCATAACATATAGTCACGTATGATGAAAGTGACCTCGAGTGATGCAAAAACAAATTTCTTGTCAGTTTTAGCGAAATCTCAGTCGGTGTGACAAGTTTCCTGGATAAAGTTTTGTGTCTTCGTGGTAACAACTGTAATAAGTAACTTCTATTGTCGTATCAGAGGTGACGCTAGTGTGTTACAGTAGTGGGAGAAGCATAACACCTCCTTATGCCCGCCAGTTGTCAGTTACGAAGTCTAAAACCGTTTTCGATTTTCGTCTGTCGTGGAAACGGAATTTTAATGTCGATCTGACAGCACGACGCAACACTGTGGGCCGGTGAGCAGCCTCCCAGGCGCCACACAGCTCACCCCACCCAAGGCACAAGTATATATATATTTTGACGTATATCCCGGGCAAGCAGACTCGCCCAAGATTATCCAAACTCACATCCAAGATATCGTACAGCCGAAGTTTCATAAAGTAAATTAGGTAGCGGGAGAACACGACTGTGGGAGATGTGAGCTGCCTGACGAAGTAGCTGTAGCAGTGTTAACCCTCCAGCCTCCCCTCCACCACCTGCGGCTCACACTGGCGCCGAGGGAAAAACTGGAATCGTCTTAATATATTCAACAAGGCACGGCCGAGGGTTTTATCATCTCTGGTTCAAGATTACACAAAACATAGTAGTTTAGGAAAAAAAATTGAACAAATGAGATATCGGTGCTGGTGACTGATCTGCTGCTATAAGTGTTGAGGCTTTATTTATATACCGTTTTGTGGGCTGCTAGATTGATTTTAGTTGAGAAAAGAAGTTTTTAAGTGTCGTAGAAGTAAATAAGGGTGTATGAGAGGTGTAGAGACGGTTAGAGTGATGTGTGTTGGGTGTGGCCTAGCGTCTCCTGTCTGTCAGAGGGCAGACTTTCTCCCTCGCCCCCTGACCGCCTCTCCTCTACAACAAATCAACTTTATGTTATCATAGGAACATATTTTTTTTGTTGTGCGACGCTGACACACAACTTTTATTTGTGTGTTCATAGTTAGTGTATTGCAGCGGAGGTAGTGTTTGTGGTGTGTTGTGGCGGGCGTGGAGACCAGTCAGCAACCTTATTCTGCACTACAAATAGCTCGTAAAATAAATGGTATCGGACTAGCGATAATGCATTTTGATGTGGACGATTCTCGGCGATTTTGAGAGCTGGTCCCGACCTGATCGTTTGTGGGGCGATCGTCCGCCGGGAACACAGTGAGACAGTCAGGAAGGAAATATTTGTCACTGAGCTTCACACAACTTTGTTTCTTGGAGATTATTTAAGTTGAGTGGCGACGTGGTAGAGAAGGGAGGAGTCGGGTGGAGGTAGCGTGAGGATGAGTGAGGAGGAGAAGGAGAAGGAGAAGCGGGGAGTGTGGCGCCTGTGGGCGTGGGGGCGGAAGGGGCGACGCAGGTACACTCTGAGGGACGTCCAGTCTGAGGAGGACGTGTGCCTCTACAAGGACCCGGTGCCTGTCCTTAAGAAGGGTTACACGTCAGACGATCACCTGTTAGATCAGCGCCGCCCTCACGCCCAATCTGACGACGATGAGGGCGAGAGCGAAGACCCAGACCGTGCCCTGTCTATATGGGAGTCGCTCGCCTGGCGAGACGACAGTCAGGATTCGGAGGACGTGTCCACTGATAAAGACATTACCGAGAGCGAGGTGGAGACCACTGAGAGTGAGAGTGAGGAGGTGAAGAAGGATGGCGGTGCCGTACAGACTATAGTGGAGCGGCTGAGGGCGTGTGGGGCCGGGCATGGGAGGGCAGGCAACCTAAATTGGCCCAACATCGACACGTGGACCTCACATGACCTGAAGCAGTTCCTCATCAACAAGGCACAGCTAGAGCTGGGAGGGCCCTATGATAATGATAGCGTTAATAGTATTGAGATGAAATCTTATGTCCACAATAATTGTAACACTCTTGCTAGCCGGCAAGTGTCACCAGCCCCGGCCATCCCCACCCCACCGGGGGCCACCCCTCGCCCCGTGCCCCTGAGGCCTCGGGGGCGAGGCAGGACTGTAGCGTCGGCCCTCTTAAGGAGGGGTGGGAGGGCCCGGAAAACCAACCAGAGGAGTTCGATGCAGCTGGAACACGTGATGCGAGACTTATCACCACCACCACCACGTCCTCGTCTCTGGTCACTACCAGCCATCATCGTCACCACTTTCGATAACCCCTTGAAGACTCCTTCTCCACCAGGCTTCAGCAACAGCCTCTCCAACAGCATGAACTACTTGACGGTGCCCAACGCCCACACCTACCGTCCCCGTCAGGACACTGAGGACACCCAGAGTGAGCCGTGTTCCACGATGGACGCAATCATGCCCTGTGTCGACAGTGACAAGAAGACCGTCCCTGGAGGTCTGGCCAGCGCCACCAAGTTGGGGTCCATCATGGACTTGTGGTCTGGCCAGTGGCAGGTGCAGGAGGACAGAGAGGCCAGCGACGGCAGACCTTACCCTTCGGGGTCACCACCACCAGACCCAAGACCACAAGCCAACCCAGAGTACCTCCAGTACGAAGAGTCCTTCGTAAGTGTTGCCCTTCTGTCCCTTCTGCAGGTGATAGGTACAATAACTCACTACTGCAGGTGTTAGGTATAATAACTCACTACTGCAGGTGTTAGGTATAATAATTCACTACTGCAGGTGTTAGGTATAATAACTCACTGCTGCAGGTGTTAGGTATAATAATTCACTACTGCAGGTGTTAGGTATAATAACTCACTACTGCAGGTGTTAGGTATAATAACTCACTGCTGCAGGTGTTAGGTATAATAACTCACTATTACAGGTGTTTGGTATAATAACTAAACTACTACAGGTGTTATACTTATGTTAGGTATAATAACTCACTATTGCAGGTGTTAGGTATAATAACTCACTACTACAGGTGTTATATTTGTGTTAGGTATAATAACTCATTACTGCAGGTGTTAGGTATAATAACTCACTGCTGCAGGTGTTAGGTATAATAACTCACTACTACAGGTGTTAGGTATAATAACTCACTATTACAGGTGTTTGGTATAATAACTAAACTACTACAGGTGTTATACTTATGTTAGGTATAATAACTCACTATTGCAGGTGTTAGGTATAATAACTCACTACTACCGGTGTTATATTTGTGTTAGGTATAATAACTCATTACTGCAGGTGTTAGGTATAATAACTCACTGCTGCAGGTGTTAGGTATAATAACTCATTATTGCAGGTGTTTGGTATAATAACTCACTGCTGCAGGTGTTAGGTATAATAACTCACTATTACAGGTGTTAGGTATAATAACTCATTATTGCAGGTGTTTGGTATAATAACTCACTGCTGCAGGTGTTAGGTATAATAACTCACTACTGCAGGTGTTATATTTGTGTTAGGTTTAATAACTCATTACTGCAGGTGTTAGGTATAATAACTCATTATTGCAGGTGTTTGGTATAATAACTCACTGCTGCAGGTGTTAGGCATAATAACTCACTACTACAGGTGTTAGGTATAATAACTCACTATTACAGGTGTTAGGTATAATAACTCACTACTACAGGTGTTAGGTATAATAACTCACTACTACAGGTGTTAGGTATAATAACTCACTATTACAGGTGTTAGGTATAATAACTCACTACTACAGGTGTTAGGTATAATAACTCACAACTACAGGTGTTAGGTATAATAACTCACTACTACAGGTGTTAGGTATAATAACTCACTACTACAGGTGTTAGGTATAATAACTCACTATTACAGGTGTTAGGTATAATAACTCACTATTACAGGTGTTAGGTGTAATAACTCACTACTACAGGTGTTAGGTATAATAACTCACTACTACAAGTGTTAGGTATAATAACTCACTACTGCAGGTGTTAGGTATAATAGTTCTACACCTGTATACTTCATTAATAATAAATAAACACGATCTGTTCCCTCATGTGTTATAATGGCGACTGTCCCTGTTCTGTTTCACGCAGCGCGAGGTAATGTTGTCCAGGCAATTACTAGAAGCCACCCACAGGTACCATTGCTGCGGGCGTGGCATGCCGCCCACCAGTGTTACCACCGCCTCTTATGCTACACTTCCCCAAGGATAACACTGTTACTTGTTCCCCTCCATAAGTCATTAATTTAAACATGGCTTCAGTTGATTATATTCATTTGTGTTTAAGTTTGTGTTGACTTTAGCGTGTAGGCAGTGCTGGGTTATTGACAAGGGCAGCACCAGCAGGAGAAGCAGCAGCAGTGGTAGCAGCTTCTTGCATGTTAACCGTATTGAGTTGTGCTTCCCCCGTGTACTGTACAGTGTAGCAGCCAATCTCTACAGTTGAGTCGCCCCATCTCCACCACCAACCATCACCATCACCCACCACCACCATCCCTCGTCCCCACCACCACCACCATCCCTCGTCCCCACCCCCCATCACCACCCCCCATCACCACCACCACCACCACCATCCTCGTCCCCACCCCATCACCACCCCCCATCACCACCACACCCACCACCACCATCCTCGTCCCCACCCCCATCACCACTCCCATCACCACCCCCACCATCTCACCACCACCCCCACCACCTCACTCTCACCACCACCGCCTCAATGTGTGCTAGTGATAGTCATGTAGCCTCTGATAGCCCCATAGACTGCACCAATAGGCTAGACACCTCAGTATATATAACAGGTCACCAGGCTCCCTCACTCCTGTGTTCTTTATTCCACATATGAGACCATATGTGTAGCAGGTGTGGCACTAGACCATATGTGTAGCGGGTGTGGCACTAGGTGGCGTGGCGCCACAGGTGAGGAATATGTGGCATCACCTCAAACACCTGCCACCTGTGTGGGTCATGTACTATACACCTGGCTAGTAGGATGTTATCTCCTGACCTAACCTAACCCTACCTTAACCTAATCTAACCTAATTGTTCCTTAACCTAACCTAACCTAACCCTGGATTAGAGGAGGGGCTAATTCAGTACACAAGTTGACCTCTGTATATACACCAGAGTGAAGGAGTCGAATCTACTTACCATGATCCTACCCACCTACCATGATCCTACCCACCTACCATGATCCTACCCACCTACCATGATCCTACCCACCTACCATGATCCTACCCACCTACCATGATCCTACCCACCTACCATGATCCTACCCACCTACCATGATCTACCCACCTACCATGATCTACCCACCTACCGCAGTCTACCCACTACCATGATCCTACCCACCTACCATGAGCTACCCACTACCATGAGCTACCCACCACCGCCCAGTCCTACCCACCTACCATGATCCTACCCACCTACCTTGATCTACCCACCTACCATGATCTACCCACCTACCATGATCTACCCACCTACCATGATCCTACCCACCTACCACCGCCCAGTCCTACCCACCTACCATGATCCTACCCACTACCATGATCCTACCCACCTACCATGATCACCCACCTACCACGCAGTCTACCCACCTACCATGATCTACCCACCTACATGATCACCCACCTACCACTTGATCTACCCACCTACCATGATCTACCCACCTACCATGATCCTACCCACCTACCATGATCTACCCACCTACCATGATCCTACCCACCTACCAGTCCTACCACTACCATGATCCCTGCCCACCTACCATGATCTACCCACCTGCCATGATCTGCCACCTACCACTTGATCTGCCCACCTACCATGATCTGCCCACCTACCATGATCTACCCACCATGATCTACCCACCTACATGATCTACCCACCTACCGCAGTCTACCCACCTACTTAGTCTACCCACCTACCGCAATCCTACCCACCTACCATGATCCTACCCACCTACCATGATCACCCACCTACCATGATCTACCCACCTACAAGTCTACCCACCTACCATAGTCTACCCACCTACCATGATCTACCCACCTACCATGATCTGCCCACCTACCACGCAGTCTACCCACCTACCATGATCTACCCACCATGGTCCTACCCACCTACCATGATCTACCCACCTGTGCTTGATCCTACCCACCTACCATGATCTACCCACCTACCATGATCCTACCCACCTACCATGATCTACCCACCTACCATGATCTACCCACCTACCATGATCTACCCACCTACCATGATCTACCCACCTACCATGATCCTACCCTAAATACTACCATACTCGACTCTAGACCAACCTTCATGGAACCATAGAATGAACCCATCGTCACCATAGAGTCATTTGCTTGTTTTAATTAATTACTAAAAATTTTAATTGGTTTCCAAATTAATTTTCCTCGTAATTAGACGCAAAAAAAATTGGCTTCTTATAATAGTTTGTCTTAATAATTTGGAATGTTTATTTTGGTTGTTTTAGTGATGATTAATGTACAGTTGTATGGTAGTTTTAGTGAATAAATATCTGTCTATCTGTCTGTCTCGATCTGTCTGTCTGTCTGTCTATCTGTCTGTCTCGATCTGTCTGTCTGTCTCGCTGTGTCTTGATCTGTCTATCTATCTGTCTGTCTGTCTGTCTGTCTCGCTCTGTCTGTCTCGCTCTGTCTCTCGATCTGTCTGTCTGTGTCTTTCTGTCTATCTGTATATCTATCTATCTGTCTGTCTCAATCTGTCTGTCTCTCTATCTATCTATCTGGGTAGACTAACTCGGGTTCGTGAATCCCTTGTGCTTCAGGCGGTGGATTCAGTATACTCGGAGCCGAAACCTAACCTAACCTAACCTAACCTAGCCTTAACTGAACCTACCTTAACTGAACCTAACCTAACCTAACCTAACCTAACTTAACTTAACTTAACCTAACCTAACCTAGCCCAAATTTTTCCTTTTCCTGACAAATTTCTTAAACATAATTCCCTAATTTTTCTTCCTGTAAATTGTTTCATGGTTTTGTCCCTATAACTTTTCTTCCCTGCCTACTTCTCTATTTATTCCCTGACTTTTTTTCCCCCCCACACGCGGCCATAGGTGTAATTAGTGAGGATAATGGCGTTAATTAGATAAATCTCATCTTAATTTTAACCTCTTTAAACACCTGTTAATGAGTCCTAAAGTAATTAGTGACGTCTGTAGAGGCTGTTACGGCTCACCTGAACAGACAAGAGCCATTATCGGTGTCTGTTAATGATGGTTGGTGATTTGTTCTGTCAGCTGTCTGTCTGTCTGTCTGTCTGTCTGTCTCTCTTAAATAAGTTATTCGCTGATACGATTCCTGATGACCTCTGTCTGTTCGTCCGTTTGTCTGTTTATAAGGCACTATCTCAACCTAACCTTAACCTAACCTTAACCTAACCTTAACCTAACCTAACCTAACCTAACCTAAACCTAAACCTAAACCTAAACCTAACCTAACCTAACCTAACCTTACCTAACCTAACCTTACCCTAACCTTAACTTAACCGAACCTAATCTAAAGAAAAGTTGTTGGGGAATTGTGTTGACATTCGCTAAAAACTGGTGACTTTACATGGCGTTTTTATGGGTAAAGTTGCTTAACGGGAGCTAGCGAGTGTTTCTGTGAGCGAAGAGATATAATAGGTAGCTTAGTGTTGTAACCGACTGATGTTGGTAACTCTGTTGAAGGGGGTCAAGGGTTTGTGTTTGATCTGGTAATACTGTTTCTTCATCATATTACATGCTGTCACATTATGTACACACGCACACACACACTCACACACGATGACCACACACATACACACACGATGACCACACGCACACATACATACGCGATGACCACACACACACGATGACCACACGTACACACATACACAATGACCACGCACGCACACACACACACACACACACACACACACGATGACCACACACACACAAAGGAATTAGGTTAGCGTTAGGGTGATTAATCTTCAGGTGATCCATTATTAGTACAGGTAGAGATGCCGAAGTGTTGTGTTGTGTTACGTTGTGTTGTGTTGCGTTGTGTTGTTGTGTTGAGATAGAAATGATAGTGACGCTTTGAATTGAATCCAGTTATGAAATATTTGATACATTGATTAGCTTTACAACACCAAGGTTGACTAGTTGTTATTGCTGCTGTTGTTGTTGTATAATAGTTGAAGGTTATTTTTTAGTTATAGCTGAGGTTGTGATTGTAGTTATTGAAATAGAACTGATATGGGTAAAGGTGTTGGGAATTTAATAATGTAATTGGTTAAAAATGAGGAGCTTAATGTACAGTGTGGTGACAGTGTACAGTGTGGTGACAGTGTACAGTGTGGTGACAGTGTACAGTGTGGTGACAGTGTACAGTGTGGTGACTGTGGTGAGTGTACAGTGTGGTGATATAGTGTACAGTGTGGTGACAGTGTACAGTGTGGTGATACAGTGTACAGTGTTGTGACAGTGCACAGTGTAGTGACATAGTGCACAGTATAGTGACATATAGTGCACGTGTGTTAATGATTACTGTACGTGTACTAATAGCTAATGTACGTGTATCAATAGTTAGTGTACACTTTACTAGCTCGTGCACGTAGACTAATGGCTTGTGTACGTACATTAATGGCTGGTGTACATGTGTCAATAGTTAGTGTACATATTACTAGCTAGACTCAACCCAAATGTACATGTACTAATAGCTGTCGCACATGTCAGTGACTAGTACACATATAACTAGCTAGGCTCAACTGTACATGTCAGTGACTAGTGCACATATAACTAGCTAGGCTCAACTGTACATGTCAGTGACTAGTGCACATATAACTAGCGACACTCACCCCAACCTTATACTAATAGGCGCTGTACATGTTCCCAACAGATGTATGGTCGTTACTCGGCCAACTTAGCAGAATACGCGAGACAAGAGGCCAGGAGACTACGGGACGACGACCACCACAAAGACGACGCTCTCTTCTCCAAGGAGCTTCAGCCATACCGGGGACGTGTAGCGAGGACGTGTATATCTTTTATAAGGTGAGTCTTGTAGTACCTAACCTAACCTAACCTAACCTAACCTCACCTAACCTAACCTGGCCAATATTTTCCTTAATTTTCCTCCTGTGTGTGTGTGTGTGTGTGTGTGTGTGTGTGTGTGTGTGTGTGTCTTGGTACTGGGACATGCAATAACCAGCTCTTGTCATGTTTGAAAGTCATCGATTATGGGAAAGATTTCATATCACCTGCAAATTTAGACACATCCTTAATGTTACCTGAGGGTTTTGGTTAGGTTAGGTTATGTTATGTATAGATAGATAGCGCTAGGTTAGGTTGGCGCGAGGGTGTCTAATCTTCAGGTGCTCGTAATATTCTTCCTGGAGAGCTTGAGAGAAGGAGTGGTGGTGGTGTGCTTGCTGGTCGTCTTGGCTCACATCCAAGCAAAGTTAGATGGTTCAGATACGTTCCTGTGTTGCTTGTGTTATGACGTAATAATTTCAACACAGTTTTACATCTCACTTCTGGGTGTAGTCTGAGTGTTGATAACATCTCTGGCACATACATACATACATACATACATGTATTCAATGCATATTATATCATTATGTCTAAATCAAACGTAAGTCTGTATATTTTCAGCCACCGGCTGCAATTCTATTAATAAACCGTTTATTATTATTATTACAGTATTATTATTATTATTATTATTATTATTATTATTATTATTATTATTATTATTACATACATACTGTACATGACGTGCAAAACTAATTAAAATTTTCTAAAAGCCATTTGAACAAGTAATAATCCAGATATCAAATTTTGGTTAACAGATCCTTAATTAGCATGTTCAGGAGTACCTATACTGTGATTTTGAACAAAATCTATTTTTTTGCCAAAAATCCTGTAAGGCTTAAGACTTACAATTTTTGTCATTTTCAGCCAAAAAAAAGATTTTGTTCAAAATCTCAGTATAGGTACTCCTGAACATGCTAATTAAGGATCTGTTAACCAAAATTTGATATCTGGATTATTACTTGTTCAAATTACTTACAATTTTTTTTCATTTTCGGAGTATGACAGTATGAAATATGATGATCTCAAAGCCCAACTGGAATTCGTTGTCAGTACCTATTCCAGTGACCTGGAAGCATCTGTTCTAGATGAAATTTTGCAATTTAAAGACATTTTGTCTTCTGAATCTGACAGGTCAGTGACAAACATCTCCACTTTGCTGAGGTCCAAAGATGGTATTTTGACAACTGCCTTTCCATTTGGTAAGAATTGTCCTTACCATCCCCATTACAAATTGTGAAGGAGAGAGGTCTTTCTCTACTCTATCTAGGGTGAAAAATCACCTGAGGTCTACTATGGGACAAACCACACTAAACTCACTTTCATTATTATGCATTGAATCTGGCCTCCTACAATCCCTTGACACAAACAGTATCATTGACAAATTTTCCATGAGAAAAAGTAGGAAGAAGTTATTTTGAAATTCACACAGTTTGCTGTACTTCATGTACTGGCAAAGTTGATTATGCTTCAAGTTAATTGTATTTCATTCATTATTCCCACATATAAGATGTACATGATATAGAACTAATTTGATTAAAAGTAATGATGTGTCACATTGTGTTGAAACTCTAATTTCTTACATTATAATATTATGATATTATGTAATATTTGATTATTGAAACATGCAAACATTTCTATAAATTTGAGGGCCCACTGATGAGTTTGGCCTGGGGCCCACACGTAGGTAAATCCGGCCCTGTACATACATACTGTACATACAATATAAGGATAAATTTCATCATTCAGATAAACAGTATTTACACCATCGTTAACACATATATGTATATTATTATGTTTATTGTTATTCGAAATGTTTATGCTATTATCACAAACATTATTACAACCCCTTTGTGTGTGTGTGTGTGTGTGTGTGTGTGTGTGTGTGTGTGTGTGTGTGTGTGTGTGTGTGTGTGTGTGTGTGTGTGTGTGTGTGTGTGTGTGTGTGTGTGTGTGTGTGTGTGTGTGTGTGTGTGTGTGTGTGTGTGTGTGTGTGTGTGTGTGTGTGTGTGTGTGTGTGTGTGTGTGTGTGTGTGTGTGTGTGTGTGTGTGTGTGTGTGTGTGTGTGTGTGTGTGTGTGTGTGTGTGTGTGTGTGTGTGTGTGTGTGTGTGTGTGTGTGTGTGTGTGTGTGTGTGTGTGTGTGTGTGTGTGTGTGTGTGTGTGTGTGTGTGTGTGTGTGAACAAACTTTTATTACGAGAAAAGTATAAGAGTTTTAGTGTTATTGTGAAAGGAGTCAAGAAGGTAAGCTTATATATTGGCGAGGATAGAGTTCCCCCACAGTTGGCGAGGATAGAGTTCCCCCACAGTTGGCGAGGTTGTCATGTGGCCAAAAAGTTTCCCGGAAAATTAAAATCAGGAAGATAATTGGACTAGAGGAGCTGCCCTTCCTTGCTGACGATAATGGCTAACGATAATTATGACTGACAGTGACGACTAACGATGATGGCTGACGACAATGACTGACGATAATGGCTGACACTGATGGCTAACGATACTGGCTGACATTGACGGCTAACGATGATGGCTGACGATAATAGTTGACGATAATGGCTGACAGTGACGGCTGACGATGGCTGACTGTGACGGCTGACAATAATAGCTTACGATAATGGCTGACAGTGACGGCTGACGGTGACAGCTGACGAAGAAGGCTAAAATATGGGTGTTCGTTTAAATGCACGCCTTTGTCACTGCCACCACTGTAAGCTGGCTAGTATGTGGGTAATGGTGTTGATGCAGTGGGTGGTTGTGTGGGTAGTAGCATGGGTGGCAGTGGGGGTTGGTAGAGGAGTGGATGGTAGTGTGGGTAGGTAGTGGTGTAAATGTGGGCGGTGTGGGAAGAGGCACACAGCAGCACCAACACAGTTCTGTTCGCTAGGTCGGGCAAGCAGCGACCTGCAGGATCGTTGTTACCATTGATCGCTGGGCTGATTGTTGGCCCGCTACACCACCAACACCGCACCTCTGCATCTCCGTATTCCTCCTCTTCCTTGCCTCCATTTATTATCTCGCATATAATTAGTTAAAACTATTCATAATATATATATAATAACGTGGCTGATAAATAGAGTTTGTTTACGTTGTACAGTATTTTATAAAGCGACACATAATCTTAATTCAATTTATCTTAGATTTTTCTTATCTCGGGGTTTATACAGATATGAATTAGTCTTGGTTATATTTTCACCTAACCTAGCCTCCTCCCCCCCAGTGTCATTACATCCCGGAACACGACTTCTCAGACCCAATTTTCCCACAGAAAATGTGTACGGCGGCCACCTCATTGCTCCGAGTTCTCTGTGATGGAGGAGGCAAGTGTGACTCGTATAATAGTGAGTCATCCTTATCGTGGCGAGTTAACTTTCCGCCTCCAACAGTCACCTATTACACTATTACTTTAACTGTTATTGAGTTATGTTAAAGGAAGCGTTGTCCCAGTCATCGTAGGTGGTGTTTACGTTGCCACAAAACTTCACTCCCAAGAATTCGTAGTACACAGCCTAGTCACACCCGGAACTTTCTCACGGGCTTCTACAAATTCTGAAAAATATTAGGTTGTGGTGCCAGTAATGGTGCCATAGTGGCGTGGGAAGTAGTATTAGTGTCTGGTTTAGGGATTATCTTGTTTTCTGTGTTTATGACAAGCCGACGGCGTGGCGTCTGTTATGGCCTCCCATGTGTATGTTGGTAACGATCGTCCATTAACATATTATTAGTATAACTCAAGAATTAAGAAAGCGAACGTGCTCACACCTGACAAATTTATATTCCCTCTAGACACCTCAGTGTTTGTGGGATCAATAAGGTCAAAGGTCAAGGTCACAGCCTGGAAAAACGTTATCCCAGAGTGCCCGAGCGCAGTTATGTTTACGCTGAAGGGTTAAGTTAACTTCTTTCTTCTCTTTATATTGATCTGGGATTTTTCAAGAATATTCTGAGAACTGTAAAGGGTTTATAGAATTAGTCACAGTTTATGTAGAACTAATCTTTAATGTTCAGGTGTTAACATATTGCATATATAAATGAATTCAGTGTTGTTAAATCCGATCTTGTGTTGTCCATAGTCTGTTAGTAGCAAGGCAACTGATTGGCTGGGGAAAAATCATTACATTAATCAATTATATTTATATACTGATATTTTAAGATATAACAACTACTCTGTGTTGATGTCTGATAATTTCCGCACTTAGGAAATAAAAAATTAACACGTGAAATGCTTTGATAACATAAATACAATATATTTAAGAGAACACGAGCATGATGGGGGACGTCACTCCTCTTCACGTGACGTCAAGCAGCAGGTGAAGAATGTCACTGAAAATTTAAAATATTTCACTTGTTTTCTTTAATATATTTATGTTATCAAAGCGTTCCCATTATATTTTCGTAGTGTTAATGAGTAGTAATGATCAGCCGTATAGTGAAAATTCTATTGTAATGTTACGAACTGTGTATAAAGGAATTTAAGGCAATAGAAATAGCTGGGGGGTGGGGGGGGGTTATGATCCTCGTCATGGCTGTCAAAATTCACCTAATCTAATGATGACTTTCTTCAGTACCAATTGTCTTTCTCTACAATACTCAATAGTTTTGTTCAGTGTTTCGTAGGATTCATTGATTATAATTGTGCCCGGGAGAATTACAGTATTACCCCTAATGAGGTAATATGCTAGGCGTCGCGACCAGCTGATCGTAATTTGCTAATTTCCCCCCACACGTAACTTTTATGGGATCAGTAATTCTCGAGTTAAATCGGATACGATTAACTATATTGCTGGGTACGAATTATTTCTAATTAACATTTAACTGTGCACTGACTGCGTTCTGAAAAGGGGAAAGGGGGATACCCTTTCCTCTTTAATAATAATGATAATAATAATAAATTAATACACAATTTTGTTTTTAGACATACATTCTGCTGTATCAGTGGCGAAGAGGATAAAAGAAATCTGATACACAACTTCGTATAATGAATATATTGAGTGGTCTAGTAAGGAGTAGAGTACAGTATAAGCTTACAATAGAGGCGGGACACACTGTAGTGGTTCACCATCGAGCTAGAACACGATTTATCATTTACAATTTTACATCGTCTAACAAATCAACGAAAATTGTGCCCATTCACTACTCACTCAGGCACGACCTACAATCCACACACAAACATATTTTGAAGTAGCATTGGGTTTGAAATATATTATTCCACTCTGTTTTAAGTAAATTTTCTTAGTTTGACGTACAATAGGTTTCTTAGTTAATAGAATTAGAGAATTAAGATATATTTAATCGAGTGAGGCGAGAATAGTAGCTTTAATTTAACATGAAACCACGTAAATTATGATAAAAAAATTAGGTTCAAAAGAAGCAAAGTTTTTTGTGAGTTTTGAATAATGTTTGAGGAAAGGGGAATAGAGGGAGGGAGGGGCGAAAATGGGGACGAGGGTAAGGAGAGACAAAGGGGAGGAAGGAAGGGGTGACAGAGGTTAGTTGACCCCTTGCGAGGCAGCGAAGTAACAGTGGGTCAGTGAGAGGCAGTGCGGACCATGTCGCCTGCTGTGGCCGCTCAGGTAATCAATATATCCCAGTAAATAATGACCTGCTGCTGCACAACTCACCACAGCTCATTTTCAACAGCTGACTGACCTATAACTGACCTGTAGCCTACCTGTAACTGATGTATGTCCTCACTTGTAACTAAACTGTAACCTTAACTGTATCCATAATTGTTTTTTATAATATGGTTTATGTATTATGGATATTTAATTACTTATTTATTTGTTTTCAGACCAATATGGGATCACACATTTGCCCGTCTTGGTGAGGACTGGGTTTTTCTCTTCATCTTAGGTACATTAATGGCAACTATCTCCTTCCTCATTGATGACATCGTTCTTATATGTTTTGGAGGTAAGTTTATGATTATTATTTTATTGTTATTATTAGTGTTGTTGTTGTTCATTTATTTTTGGTTTAGTTTTGAAGTTTGTCTATTATTGAATTTTTCATTTCAGTTTGCTGTAATTTATCGTATCATTTGTATTACTCTGTATTTTATTTTTATTGTAATTGTTTCATTTTATTTTTTATAATTTTCATTTTTTTTTATTTTTTATTTAATTATGATTTTATGTGAATTTATTTATTTATTATAATTTTCTGTTGTTTTAAATATACTTTACTGTAAATTTATTATCTCTCGCTCTCTCTTCTAATATATATATACGTATATATATATATTGATAAAGTCACACAGGAAAAAGGGAAACAATGGAGCACCTTAGCTTTCATCTTTATTCAAGACTTCTTCAGAGGCAACTGAATTACAAGGATTGAGAGAGGCTTATGTACTTCAGGTGACCTTACAAAACATGAGGTCAGGTCAAAAACATGACATCCACTACTCCACACACCCCACCACCACAAACATTAGAGGAGCTTATAAGAAAGGGCGACATAACTAGTCATGTTAAGTCAAGTAAAAAAAAATATGAGACCCACGAATTATCTATCCTACATCTACCTCAAATGCTTTCAAAGCGGAAGAAATGAATAATGAATAATAAGAAATAAATGACAATAATCCAGATAACATCGACGGACTATTAAAAAAAAGTTTTTTTTGGATGTGCTTAGTGGTGATGATCATTTATGGGGGGAGATGTGTAGCTTCAGAGATACATTATGACTTTTTACCCCCAAGAATACTAAATTCCCATACAAGGAGGCAGGGCTTTGAAGCTGATGGAAAATGTGGAGTTAAAAGTATTTTAAACACATAACCCAACCCAACTCAATTCACCTCACCTAACCTAACCTTACTTTACCTAACTCTGACCAAACACTCACCGACTGAAAGTTAAGTGGTCGTAGGTATTCTCGGGCAATCACTTAGCAGAAGTGGTGCAGAACTATATGGTATACTCTGCTCCAGGTGTACATGGGCAAACATTTACTATTCTATGTAGATCGTAAGTAAGTACAGCAACTGATTATAAACTACTTAATGATTTCCTCTCCCCAGCCCGTATGTACCTGCACGAATACCTGCATCAATTTCACTGGGGTCTACAGCTTTTCTCTTGGGTCGTCATTCCTACGCTGTTAGTGATATTTGCCGCGGCGTTCTGTCAGTGGATGGCTCCGTCGGCAGCTGGCTCTGGCATACCCGAGATGAAGACCATCTTAAGAGGTGTTGTGCTTAAGGAATACCTCACCTGGAAGACTTTATTGGCCAAGGTACAGCCCTCGTTGTGCATCTGGATACATACATACATACATTCATACATACAGTACATACATACATACTTACATACATACTTACATACAAAATTACATACATACATACATACATACATACATACATACAAACAGACAGACAGTACATACATACATACATACATACATACATACATACATACATACATACATACATACATACATACATACATACATACATACATACATACAAACAGACAAACAGTATATACATACATACATGCAGACAGTACATACATACATACATACATACATACATACAGACAGACAGACAGTACATACATACATACCAGTACATACATGCATACATATATACCAGTATATGCATACATACATAAGAACATAAGAAAGTGGGATACTGCAGGAGGCCGACTGGCCCATACAGGGCAGATCCCTTTCACACCCATCCCAGCACTTCCATGTGCCTATCCAACTTCGTCTTGAAGCTCCCTAGCGTCCCCGATCCTACTATAGCACTCGGTAGCCTATTCCACATATCCACAACTCTATTACCAAACCAGTGCTTGCCTATATCCTTTCTGAATCGGAATTTATCTAATTTAAAGCCATTTGTTCTAGTTATTTCGTTATTACTGAGCTTCAGAACATCTTCCATTTTACCCTTGTTAATCCCACTTACCCACTTGAACACCTCTATCATATCTCCCCTAACTCTACGCCTCTCTAATGAATGTAAGCCTAAGCTTTTCAGTCTTTCTTCATATGGAAGGTTTCTAATATTATGGATCATTTTTGTCATTCTTCTTTGTACTCTCTCCAAAGAATCTATGTCCATTCTATAATCAGAATCTATGTCCATTCTATACATACCGTACATACATACATACATACAGACAGACTTAGATAGATAGCATGGTTAACTTAGTGTGTACCAGAGTGTGGGTACCGTAGGTGTCTGACAGTGTAGTTAATTAAGACAGAAATACCCGAATTTTTATTTCCTCTCATCATGTAGTTAAATGTGTAACTCTTTATAACATAATCACTTGGTCCACAGATGGTTGGTCTGTCAGCAGTCTTAGGCTCAGGTTTGCCTCTGGGTAAGGAAGGTCCAGTGATGCATATGGCCAGTATAGTGGCCACGATGCTCACCAAGATGCTTCGTTACATTAAGGGAAGTGTTGAGAACGATGCCAGGTCAACAGATCTACTCGCTGCAGCCTGCACTATGGGTGTGGCTGTCTCTTATGCTGCCCCCATTGGAGGTATGTTCAGCCATCACCAACCAAGGTTTTCTCTTATACACCTGTACTGTGTGCTTAATGTGTTAAAGATGAAATTGTTTGGTCACTGTAAACAAGTAGTTGTTATTGCTGTAGTACATTATTTAGTATTGAGTGCAGTATAAGGTTAAATGAGGTTGCAGTGGCCTAGTAAACATGACATTTGTCCCTGTCCTGAAGGTCATTGGTCACACCCTGGGCACTCCCAGTTCACTCAACTGTAAATGGGTACAGTGCTTAACTTTACAGTTGGGGAAGTGAAGGCAGTCAAGTGCAGCGGCTGCCACACTGCCTCCCTGAAGGCTCAATATACAATGTGCTATACCCACACTGTTCTTAATGAGTCATCAGGGTCATGGGACTTACTTTCACTTTTTAATACAGTATGCACTGTACAGTATTTATACTGTAATTGTACATGAATGTATATCCAGAATATATAACAGTAAATGATGTTTGCATTGTGAGCTATATGCAAGTTGCTGATTTTAATTATTTCAAATTATCCTCCAGGTGTGCTCTTCAGTATAGAAGTAACAACTGTGTATTTTGCTGTGCGCAACTACTGGCGTGGGTTCTTTGCTGCTGTAGTAGGGGCCATGTTTTATCGCCTGATGTCTGTCTGGTTCATGGGTGATAGTAAGTACTGATAAGCCTTTAGTCCCGTGATACATGTTGTAATGGTGTTTAGTGATAAACTCAAAAACTGGTGCATGAGAAGTACAATTTATAATGTACAGTGGGTTCATTTCTCACATCAATGCTGTTAGAAATGAACCTTACTGAGAGTCCTTGTGTCAGGTCTAAATACAATCGAACAGTTCCTTAACACATGTGAGAAGATGTTTGACTCTTTACCAGGTTTGATATGGTGTAGATAGTGAGCTTGCCTTGTTATTGAATTTTTTTGGTGTATTTTTTGCTGTATTTGAAATTGGTATTTTGTGTATAGAGACATGTATAGATGAGATAACTCTGCATGATTTTCTGTGTCTTCCTTGTCCCCCATACCATCTAATGATAAAGTTAGAGTCCGTGTGCTAACGTAGAGGCTGTTGTTGTCCCCTCCCCTTCCCTGTGGTTAGTTCATGTGTACTTTAGTTAACAACAGTTCACAAAATTATTTCATTTTTTATTTTATTCAAGTCAGGCTAGTGCCACAGTACAAACATATGATACACTTTTTTTTTTAACTGGCACTAACAGGGCTTGACCATAGTCTTGTTTTTGTATATGTATGTGTATAATTATAGGCAAACCCGACGTACAGTCCAGAAACGTTTCCATAAGTTTTGGTAGTTGTTGACTATGAGGATGAAGAGCTGGGCTGACAGCCTTGATGCTTCATTCATGATAAATTTAATCATCACACATTGATACTCAAAATTATTAATGTAAATGTTTCTGAACTGTATGGGAAGGCAGCCTATAATTATGAGTATTTTTTTTAGTTCTTGATAACCTGTAGTCTTGTATGTTGGCTGTGCACTTGACAGAGACCATCTCCCCGCTGTACAAAGTGGAACTTAACTACGCCTACCCGTATGATGTCATTGAGCTCCTGCCCTTCCTCTGTATAGGGTATGTATTTCCGGAGGTCACGACAATAAAATAAAAATAAATCTGCTTTTTATCAAGAGTTTGACACAAGAATATATGTTAAGCTTTTTTGTGTGATTAATTTTTGGCAGTTTATTTAATATAAGCTTAAAAAAAAGTGTTTGTTACATTTCTATTGCAGATTATTTATATGTAAGCCTAAAGAGAGATTGGTAATTCCTCTACCCATCAGTGATTAAATTACCTTTTGCATCTTGGGTTCCAGAAGATGCATGTGTGCCAGAACATTTTCTTTGCCAGTTAATCCTCTTTTGGTGATAGTTAACGTACAGCAGCAGTTTTTTCAGCAGCAAAATATTATGCCAAATAGATATATTTATTGTAATGTCAACAGGTTCAAACAGTGCAGCTTTGTATAATGTAAAAAGAAAAAAATATTTATTGTTTTATAGAAATGCACTATTTATTTTTTCAAAGAGCGCTTATTCTCTTAATTGGCTTATAATGCTTCCTCTGATGTTAACAATACACTACACAAGATTTGATGGATCACAACTTCACTTTTATTACTATTATAAGTTTTCTCTTCATTACTACAGTGTTGTAATATGTGTTCAGAACTTGTGTAGAAGAATACAGTACGTACATCTTTATACTGTACTGGCAAACTCTGTCTTAATTAAAATACTGTACTGTACTGTACTATACTGAATATGATTTTCTTTATTGTAATCTCCTGCATAAGTACACCTCTTTTCTTTCGATGTTGAGTTCAATACCGTCAATGATTTAAGGGAATTTACATTGATTAACAGTGATCTCTTTTCAGCATTCTGTGTGGTTTTGCCGGTTCCTTGTTTGTCTATCTCCACAGAAGATATGTTATGTTTATGCGTCACAACAAAACTCTTAAGAATTTCCTCCAAAAGAAGTAAGTTTCATGTGACCTCTGCTTTTTGTCTTGGTGTTTGTTTAGTGTGAGTAAAGTGCCCACTTAATGTACACTTGTAAGAGACCGAAGCTTTGAAAATAACCACAATGCAATGATGTGGTTAACAAAAATGAATTACTTTTCTCATTAGTTATCTAGTGGGAGTAAAATAACAGCATAAAATAAATATTAGAGACAGTTACCTAATTTAAGAGTATGTGAGTGAGGAGAGGATATCAATATTTATCAGGAGACTTTAATTTATATTTCATTAATAGGAAATTGAACTGAATATAACCCTCAGGGAAGTCTTAAGTTACAGTACCTGGGATGTGTAATGTAAGTTTGGGATGAAGTCAAGTGTGAAGAGAAGTACAGTATCTGCTTGTTACTGCATGTCATGAAAATTAAAATGATGGCCACCTGATCGAGTTGATGGTAATGAGTAGATGATAGAATGAGTAATAGTGGGTAGATGATAGAATGAGTAATAGTGGGTAGATGATAGAATGAGTAATAGTGGGTAGATGATAGAATGAGTAGTAGGGTAGTGGGTAGATGATAGAATGAGTAATAGTGGGTACCGGTAGATGATAGAATGAGTAATAGTGGGTAGATGATAGAATGAGTAGATGATAGAATGAGTAGTAGGGTAGTGGGTAGATGATAGAATGAGTAATAGTGGGTAGATGATAGAATGAGTAATAGTGGGTAGATGATAGAATGAGTAATAGTGGGTAGATGATAGAATGAGTAATAGTGGGTAGATGATAGAATGAGTAATAGTGGGTAGATGATAGAATGAGTAATAGTGGGTAGATGATAGAATGAGTAGATGATAGAATGAGTAGTAGGGTAGTGGGTAGATGATAGAATGAGTAATAGTGGGTAGATGATAGAATAAATATTAATAGATGAATGGTAGAATTATACAGTAGAATTAAAGAGAAAATATATTCTGTACTTCATGTCTAATAATGTTTTCTCATTTGCTCGCCACAGACGTCTCCTTTATCCAACGTTTGTTTCCATCGCAATCTCCATCATGACTTTCCCATATTGCCTTGGTCAGTTCATGGCAGCAACTTTACCCTCTAATAAACAGGTAATTCATACGCTAAATTATCATACGGTGTTGCTATACTTCAGTAAAAATACAGACAATATCTTTAATACAGTACTATGTATATTGAAAATTAAACTGTTTGTAATAATTATGAGTTTTTGTATATTTCAAGGTGTAGGTGTTGTCATTCATAGTTTTTGTTTATAAAATATATACATGGAAGATTGTTATACAGTGTTTTGTTGTGTATATTACTGTACTTTATATTATGTTTCTTGTACAGATCTTACACCTCTTCAGTAATGTAACTTGGTCGGTTACAAATCCAGATGGAATTATGACCCCTGAGCAAGAGAACATCCTCAAGCACTGGGTACCCGACTTTGAGGGGAATTTTCATCTCAGTTTATTTGTCTACCAAATTGTGTCTGTGAGTGTTTTTGCTGGTTAGTTAGTTAGTTAGTTAGTTAGTTATCTGGTTGTTATCATTATCACCATTTGTCATGTTACTAGCCAGGCAGATGGCCAGTCTCTTCTCTGTTATGACCCTCATTTTCCAATGTTACAAAGTTAACATTAAATCAACACTGTTATAATAGGCTTATGTTCTTAATGTTACTCCTGAAGAAGGGCGTCAGTAGTGAGAGATACAAGTGTCACCGCTGTACCATTAACAAACATAGACGCTCTTACTCAAAACCTGAACTTGAAGAACTTTTTTCTCTTTCAGATATTTCAAATAGGTATTGCTTCAACCTTACCTGTGCCTTCTGGTATGCTGATCCCGTTGTTTAAAGTCGGAGCGGCATTTGGTCGTCAGATTGGAGAACTCATGGCCTCTCTCTACCCGCTGGGCATTACTCCTGGGTTCCCCATTGTACCAGGTGAGTGTGTATGATTTTCTCCATAACTATCATACCAGGATTAGTGAGGTCATTGACAATTATCATACCAGGATATTATTGCTATTAGGATTCCCTTATATCAATATTATATGTTATGCAGGATTTATGACTTCGCCTTCATTTCTATATCTGTTACTTAATCATCTCAAACAAGTAATATATCATGTAATTTTTAATATTTGTATCATTATTGTTTTTATGATTGATTTTCATAGGTGCATATGCCATGGTGGGAGCTGCTTCCTTCTGCGCTGCCATCACTCACACCATTTCCATATCCGTCATTGTGTTTGAGCTCACCGGGCAGATTACATACGTGATCCCCATCATGGTAAGTGGTGCCACACACATCTAGAGAGTCAGAATTAAGAGAAAATATTATAGGACTAATCTAAGACCTTTGTCCAGTGTTAGTAAATAAAAGTCAAACTAAGATTGTATTCTCAAATCAGGTCTGTAAATCAAAACAGATCTGAAATGTTTTTTGTAAGTTACTGTATGTGATAGTGGGGGTAATAAATTAATTGAAAAACAGATGTATTATATTATGATGTTATGGATATATTGAAAACTAGATGTATATTTATTTCAGATTGGAGTCTTGATATCAAACTGTATATCATCGCTCCTTCAACCATCCATTTATGACAGTATGATCCGCATCAAGAAGTTGCCGTATCTTCCAGACATCATCGCCACTACATCTTGTAAGTCGCCTCATGATGAACTATTAAACCAAGTAATGATATGAAGATGCTCAATTTGTATTATTAGACTATTATTTCTTAAACACACCATAGAAATTTTTTTTTATACCCCATGCCCTTATAACACAGTGTAACATGATACTGTAACCTTACAGTATTGGGAGTCACGCAGTTTTATATACTGTACATTAAATTTCCTATGGTGTGCAACCTATGACATACCCTGTACAGTGTAATGCATGACCTATGAGACACCCTGTACAATTTTTTCTTCTGATTTTTAGGAAGTAATTTTGCACGGGTGAATAAAATGTTTACTTCCATTCTGCAGCTGATGTATATAACATCTATGTGGAGGACATAATGGTACGAGACGTGAAGTACATCTGGTATGGTATCACCTACACGGAACTCAAGAGAATCCTAAAAGAAAACCGCAAGTTGAAGTATCTTCCATTGGTTGACAAACCAGGTAAGTCCCTCTGACCCTCAGATGATGATGTAGTAGTATGCATGGCTCCTACTACTGTGTCATAGGTTTGATCCCCAGGACAGATGTGAGAGGGGTGTTATCCTGTGAGGCACTACTAATCATGGCAAGTTTCTCCTGGTACTCCTGTACTAACTCTGGACAGTGAAGGTTGTAACAGATAACAGACCAACTGCCTGACACACTAGTAAGCGGATAATTGGTGAAAATTATTAAAATGCATTCTGTACTTTCTTCATGAGTCTAGTTAAATTAATTAAAAATTTGTTCTAAAAATTGCAAACTTTCATAAAAAAATTCAATTCACAATATTAATGGCAAATAGAAGTAAATGATATTCAGTAGTGTTTGGGTTATAGTGAGAACATTAAAAGAACAGGTTAAATTTATATGAGGTTTATGAACATAATTTGGTGTTGTAGCTACTTTACTGTTTAGTATTTGAATTTTAATGTTTTATGGTGGCTGATGGAGCACAGCAGTCACCTCCTGTTCCATGGGTCAGTAGTTCGATTCCCAGGCACTCCCAGTTCACCCAGTTGGAAATGGGTACCTAAGTTTACAACTCGGGGAAGTGAAGGCGGTCGAGTGCAGTACCAGTCATGCTGCCTCCTTGTGTACTGAAGGCTTAGTATACAGTGTGCTGTATCCACACTGTACCTAACAGGCAATCAACTCTATGGGATTCACACAATATGGTGATAGATGAGCCATGTATATACAGTCTGTCCTCGACTTACGATGGGGTTCCAGACCGATGACCAGGTCGTAAGTCGAAAAGGCGAAAATAATACATAGAAAATCTAAAATGGGTGTCTCTTTTTTCTTCTCGGCACCACGAGAACTCTCACTTTTACGCTTGCCAGCCATTTTAAAGGGAATTACAAGCGAAAAAATTTTCAGTACACAGCGCGATCACTAACGTCGGGACTCGAAAATACGTAATTTGAAAAATATTTATACGACTGCGGCGGTCATATGTCCGGGTGGTCGTAAGTCGAGTAGGTCGTAAGTATAGGAATACCTGTACTGTACATCGATTTCAATCACTGTGATGGCACACTCAGTTTAACTTTTGAGTTACTATCTATGTTCAAGCACTAACACACCCCATCGGCACCTACAAATTGTTCTATACAATGGTACAGTACTACCGGTAAGTGTACCAGGGCCGGTGGATTCCAAGAACTGTACATGTTAATGATGGGAGTATAGGTTGACCGCCAGACAGCTAGTGTGGTACAGTAACATGTAATGAAACAATTATATGACGTGCACATTTACCACTTGGTTCTTGAAGGTTTCCCTTAGCTGAATAAAATCATCTGTCAGTAGCCAGAATAAAATTTTAAAGTGCAACAATCGGCATTAAAGGTTAAAAAAAATTTTTACTTCAAATATGAAGATTTCAGTTCAGTATTGTACATGAAATACTGTTTGGGAAAAAATTAGATTACCGGTACATACCATATATTTTGAGCACTATAGACTGTATCACTTAACATTATACAGTAAAGATAAATATTTTATTGTGCTTTACCTTGAAAAATAACTTTATTCAAATTAATTCATTCTGTTACTGTACTTTTCTTTCTTTCTTGGACAGATTCTATGATTCTTCTGGGCTCCATCCAGAGGATTGAACTTGTACGACTCCTGGTAGAACAGATTTCTTCAGAAAAGAGAAGAAAGGAAGCAACTCGCTTACATTTAGAGGCTTTGAGGTAAGACTAGGAAGTACAGTAATTGCTCTTCTGTTTAATCTGTATATTTAAGTATGTATATACAGTATGTGGCACTTAAATTAGGAAATCTGAAGAGCTTTGCTGGTAACATTGATTAACAAAATAGTGAATTGATTACAGCTAATAGAAGGTGAATTCTTGAGTACTATATAGTCAAGTGTGTATTTCAAAGAGAATAATGCTGAAGATTATTTTTTCTCCTGATTTCCTGATACACAATTGTTGGCAGAAATCAGGAGCCAAAAGCATTACATGCCTCTTAGGTAACTCCCAGATAGAGGATTTATTCCCACATGAATGATTTAATCAAACCTAATCACCGGATAGAGCATCCAAATGGCTAGTAAGCTGAAAAATGGCGAAAATGATATAAAAGAATAAATAAACTTCCCCAATCCTAATCTAAGTTAACCTAATTGTCTAAGTGTGTTGGCAAAATTGCTTGGAACGGACAATAGACCAGGATGGGGATCGTCTAAGAGGGTTGACACTGCTAATACACTCTCCACTTTCACACACTTTTGCCAATTCAACTGTGTCATATCTTATCATTTATGAGCTCTCCTCCTCCTCCTTGACAACTTTTCCTTTACCCTTATCCTTCTCTCACCCACCATCCACCTCTAAATTGTATTATACACTCTTTTAACAATCTTCCTCCTTCCATTCTCTCAGTATACCAACACCACCTACCATCTATCTGTCTGAAATTTCAATCTTGTTCCATATTGCCTAATTTCAGATTTGATTTTATTATGCATCTTATTTGCCTCGTATATTGCTCTCAAGAATAATGTTTCCACACAACCCCACATTCACACACACATTCACACACAACACAACACAAGATTACACAAACATAAATAAATAAATGAAAAATAAATGAATAAACCTTATATCTGTCGACCAACTGATGATTCCATAATACATTGTAAGAAATGACTGTATAGTTAAGAGCCTGACAAGAGAGACTAATGACTGTGCAGCATGGAGCATTGTCATCAGGTAGTCTTTGTGGTATAATAAAAGTTAAATGTTTCTCTTGTACCTCAACACTCAGACTAAAGTGGGAGGAGGAGGATGCTGCCGGAGGACCAAAACAGAGCCGCATCCGCTACGAAGATGAAATTAACGACAGTGATGAGCCGAGTATCACACAGAGCATTATTCACCGTTTCTCAAGGTCGCTGAGTCGATCACTCTCCCGCTCACGGTCCACTTCCAGGTATCTAATTATGTTTTAACCGATTTAAATGTTTGTTGTCAATTGCGAGAATTAAATGTCTAGTGGGATATTGAGTGAATATTATTAAACTGTATTGTATTTGTATTTTCTTAAGACTATAGAGTATTAAGTTAGAGTAATACTTAAGATGGTGATGACTCTTACAGGTCCACGTCTCGCTCTGTATCTAGGAGTCGGCACGGAACCCCATCTAGGTTGGTGAACACACAATACATCACTGTGCAGTATATGTTTGTTAAGAAGGAAATAGAATTACTTTAATAAGATAGAAAATAATGAACTGTGTTGAGGATAATGTTCAGAATTACAAGATATAACTAGTACAGTCGCAATTTCCACGCACTGACACATCTTGTTGGGTCACTCTAATTGTGTACAGTATATGTGTAAGGCTACTGTATATAAACTATGTTTAGAGGTGCTCACTGAGAAGGACTGGTGTATGTACAGTGGTCCTGCAGTGATGTGTTTAGTTGACAAGAATAATATAATGAGAGGAGGAGGATACAGTATCAGTGTTATGGTAGTTACAGAGAAGAATATTAAACAGTTATTGATAGTTATTTTACCTTTTAAATTAAATATTTGTATTACAGTTTCTTTGTACAGATACCATAGTTCTTTGTGTGAAGTATTCCACACAAAACTTTTAAAATTTTTCAGTAAACTGAAAATTTGCTGTCAAACTTTCTTTTCTCTTTGCTTATGCATCAAATGCATTTTATATTTCATTGTCAACTTTTATTCCTCACACAGTACAGTATTAGTGTGTGCAGTATAGTTATACAAGAGCTAAAGCTTCACACAATACACTTATCACTGTATTAGTCTGCCACAGTAGTGATTTACCTTCACACTATTGTAGGATCTAGAAATAAATTCACCAAAAGTCTTGCCTTCTTTCAAAATATAATTTCTTTGTTAGTGTCTCCACTCTGGGAGTTATGCTAGCTGTTGCTCATTAAACAAATTGTCAGCAGAATGTCTGAAGAACTCTTAAGCCAGAGGCCAGACTGTATTTGATGTGTAGACGTCTCAGTGGCATCCTAACACTCAATTGCATCAGGTGATCACGACCTCATTTTCAGGGTCGTTCTAGAATTATGTCTAAACGTACAGGGTGGGAAGCTTGTTAGTAAAATGTAAGCAGCTAGTGGTGCACTGATACTGTTCCAGTTTATGCAATCACTGCATTTTGAATATCTGATGTATTTCTCACATATCTGAAGAATATGCCTGTTCATTTAACAAATATTGTATATAATTGCCTAAAGTGTACAGTACAAAGAACTTTCAGCCACTTCTAGTTGGTCATGGGTGTCATCATGTGGTGTGGCATGACACCTGTTCAGTTGTCTGTACATGATGTTGGTATACAATATGTTACCGTACATTATCTTAAGAAAGATGTAATGGATAAAAATGAAATATGGTGTAGAGCTTCACATCAAGAATATCTAGACTGACTTTGATATTTAGGATTGTTTGGTTATTTACCTTTGTTACAGATCAATAGTTCTCTTAACTTTATCTGTCAATACTTTCCTCCTCTCTCACTTGGGTCTGGGAAGGAACAAGAGTTACAGAAATCTCAGAGACAATAACTTTGTATAGTATTGGTACACAGTGTGCCAGAACAAGTAAGTGAGTACTGTATACAGGTAGTGATAAGCCTTGCTCTACCAGGAAACCTTTCAAGTCCAACTGGATTCTTCCAAAGAACCTCGCTGACATGTACCGTACTATAGTGATGTTGAGGTCAGTTTAGAGAACTCCTCATAGGATGTCAGTCCTTGGAGAATAAATTGTCTTACTGAAGTCTGGTACCTTATCCTGTAATAAGGCTCACTTAGTGGCACTCTGGACTCCCAACCCATGAGACTTGGGTTCAGCCCCATAACTAGGTAGGGTTTGGTGGGCCCTTGTTCTGTTGTGGCAGGCACTGAACTGACCACCAGTGCCCTTGGCTATGCTAACCCTTCTTGCCTGGGGGTTGCCAACCTACAGATTGTGATAAATAACATAAGGTTGTTAAATTTTAATTTGTATATATAGATGCTGTTCCTCACTGTACAGCTGGACAATTAATGCACAGTCTTCCTCACATGATGATTTCTGCAAGACAGAAGAAAATAATTTTTGCATCCACAAGATTTTTCGAGGTCATAATGTCCTCAATCTAATTGATTTTTTCATTTTCATTCTATTTTTTATCACTTAAATTCTCTTAATTTAATTAATATTTCATGTGATCCCATTTTGCTCTTTTTATTCATAATATTACCATGTAATGTTTTACACAAATTTTTGCCTTTTTGATTCATCTGAATAACTTTTTTCTCTCCATTCTATGTATATATTTTTTTATTGTGCACCTCTCTGCCATTTATGTTATAAACCTGTGACTTTATTCCTGATTCTGTCAACAATCTTTCTCTTTCTTAAATACTGTACAGGATATTCTGTAAATCCACATAAATCAAATTTTATCGACAAGTTAGAGTACTTGTGTCCCTTAAGGCAGTACTGTAGTGTAGTGCACCACTGACTAATACTATCAACAATAAACCACAAATAATGTAGTACTGTAGTGTCACTTGCTGCCACATGTTAAAAAGTTAAGAAACTTTGTCTTTAGTATTACAATATTATGTTAACAAACTATATAACACTTGTACAGCAGTAAACTTTTAGTAAATGCATTTCTCTTGCTGTATGTAGTACAGTAGTAGTAGTAGATATATATATACACGACAAATACTGTACACGCTTATTATGAGTTTCATTTAATTTATTTTACATTTTCTTGGAGCTTTATATAATTAAGGCTATGATTACTGGTTCCATATATGATTTATATTCTTTATTACAAAGTTTTTCTTTTCTTTTCCTTTTTTTTTTGCCTCGGCAGTGACAGCGACGATTCCTCCACTTCCCCACCTGGATCACCCGCATCCACACGCTCTAAGTAATTACTGCTGAATGATTTATGATGGCTAGTTTTATGCCATGAATAACCTTTAATCGACTCATTTTATTTTCACTGTTCAATAAGACAAATGATTCAGTTTTATCATGGGCATAAAATTTGACGTTATCCTTTTGTTTTTGCTGCATGGGGTGTTTCTATGGTTTCTTCTTATTTTTCTGTGGAGAGACGAGTTGATCCTGCAGTTACTGTAACTCTCCTCCATAACAGGGCTGTCTGGTGTTGGTTTTTGTTTTCTCTCTAATATCATATAAACACAACTCGGATGGTTCTAGTACACCAGCGTTAAAGGCATATGATCTCCTCCCCGCCTACACTAACGCTCCTCTACTGTTCCAAGCGTTTTCAGAAAAGACCTTCATGTCTACGCTCGATAGAATCATCAGCACTTGACAAAATTTAGGGGAATATTTAAATGGGTTCCATCTGCCCCTTCACCTCTCTGTTTCCTCGTCCATCTGAACCATCGGTACATTTCCAGAGCATAACTCATAAAAACGTTGCATCGATCTTGATAAGAATTTTTATACGAATCGGTACATTGATGGAAGAAATATATTTTATTGTGAAAGAGTCTTATTTGTTATATTTTTTAGGCGAAATAAACATGATGTAAGTCAGAGTACTCTATCACCATACTTGACTGATAACAAACATTGCTGTGGGTAAATCTTTCTCCTTGTTCAGGAATACATTGTACTTGTAGTTTTATTGTGATGGATTCAAACGTGGGACATAAATTTAAGGGTCTTTATTTGGACCCGCTCCTGGACACTTTGATATTGACGTGTCTGTTATCTAGGCTGGTTTACATCATTCCTAAAACATATTCTAAATTTAACAATCCTATCCTAACGTAACCTAACCCAACCTCAGTTAAACTTGAAACAAATTTACATTAACTTCGCCACTTAGGTGTTGCTACAGTTTACGGCGCTTCATTACATCCCCTGTGGGTTTTCTTGGACAATATATTCAGCTGGATGTATCATGGTGGTACCTGACCATGTGAAGATTAGCTGTCAGCTTATTTTACTTGAGGATTTAATAACCTAACCTAATATTACATAGGTTAACCTAGCCTAACCTCATAGTATAATGTAACCTAACCTAGTCTAATTACCAGTAATATAACCTAACCTAACATAACATAGCCTAACCTAACATAATGTACCCTAACCTAATGCACCCAGGTAGCATTAGAGTATTTAATTAAGTGGTGAAATAAGGGGAGGGAGGAGGACTAATCTTCATATGATCAGATGACACTAAGAAATTAACTGGTTAAAAGGAGGAACTACGGGAAGACTTGATGTGATGTGTTTATGTGTACTGTACTGCTGGCTGTCTCAAGGTTTGGATATTTGGACCCATATTCTAGAGCAGGGTATCGACAATTTACCTAGATTTTGCCAAGGCTTTGACGTGTACACGAGGCTGAAAATCAAACTGGAAGATGCGGTGAATGTTCGTGGATGAAGACTTTCTACATGCGAAGCATGTGGTGATTAATGCCGAAATCGTCATCTGTACCTGTAACAAGTGTACCGCGGTAGTGTATTGGGCCGCTGTTGTTTGTTGTTTATAAATGATATGCTGCGTTTCCTCCCCATACAAATGTTTGCGATGGCAAGTTATTTGTAGAACAGCGGACTGTGAAGAGCTGAAGGACTCTGTGGCTCAGGAATGGTAAGGAATGGCTGCTGAGATTCAATGTCACAAGTGTAGAGGATGCACCTGGGCCCAGCGTGGGCGTCCATATGTCCACAGGATGAAGAAAATGTACTAGTTGAGACTGTGTGTGAAAGGACCTAGGTGTGTATGTTGACAATGGCAGTTCTCGGCCATTGTGAAGAAGGTAAATCAGGCAAATAATTGGGTCTTATAAGAGTGTTCAGATATCTAGGCGGTCCGTCCTGTGGCGATCTTCAGGTAAGTGCTTCCCCATCTGGATACTGTCACCCATCTGGTCCGAGATATGTGGGACTGTCAGTTGGTTGAAATTTAGGAGGCCCGCTGGTGCCTGCACTGCATCTCAGCTACCCTGCAGATTGGGCGCCTGAACTCTGCTTATACTACAGCGGGCAGGGGGACCTGTTGGGTTTATAAGCATCTCAGGGGACTACTCAGTTGGTGTCCTACTTGGAGCTGGCGGCCTCGCTGAGGTCAGTCAAGATTGAAGAAGCAGTCCGAAACGTGAGGCAAACTTTTGGAGTGAGGGTTGTAAACTCTTGGACAATCTACAGAAAGTGTTGTGGCGGCACAGTGTGAGCTCTTTCAAGGACTTGACAACACTGGGGTTCAGGTACATTCAGGCAGTGCATGCCCAGTATTGCCAACAGTGGTGCAGAGCGTGACCGATCGCGGGTGCGGCGATCTTTTGGTAGAATATAAGAAAAGAGTCGTGACGATCGTGCGGCTAACAAGCGATCAGTGGCGAAGAGGATAAAGTAAAGTACTGTATATTACTGTAATCTCTTGAGTAATGTACAGTAAGTCATCAAACTCAAGGGGTTGATGAAATAGAGAGTCCAGGCAGCTATTTCCTCTGTAAAAGTTTCATATAATTCTAAACTTTAACGTAACAAAGGAATAAAATGCTTTTCTGGTGTCAAAGAAAGTTATTATTATTTTTTTATTTTGATTTATTTATTTTTGCATGGACTTCCTTGTATGGTTATGAATGGCTTATGTGCACCTTCTTCTGTCATCATCATCATCATCTTGTACAGGGTATAAGATGCTTGTGTTAATGTCACTCTCAGTTGGCATTTTTTTCTTTCCTCCCCATTACAGTATTTGGATGTGCTTAACAATGTGCTAATGTCTTTATCTGTTTTTCAGTCAAGATGGTTCTGATTATTATAAAAGCTTATGCCTGCATTGTGCATCTGTATTTGTTGATTGAGAAAGACCATCATCTTTCTTTACTGATGTTTTTATTATACTGAATGTCTAATATTTATTTTGTGTTTAGTAATGTTGCCTGCCAAGTATTGTACTGTATAATACAGCGTTCATCTTACTCTTAATATTATGTGATTCCCATATTCAGCTTCTCTTGCACTTTATTGGAATTGAAATTTTTGCATATTATTGTATGTTGTAATACTAATTAACTTATAGCAATAATGAAACTGTGTTACTAATACGGTATAATACATAACCAGTGAGTATAAGTGGCTGTATCACATTACAGGAGAGACTCAGACTCTGTAACACCGCCTGGGTCCCCTGCGACCCCCTCCAAGTCTCAGCTGGTCCGAAACCTTGAGGTTCTCCGTTAAAAAGGTTAGTTTACTTAGTAAAGTTGAATTATTTTACAATATTATCATATTTTATGTACAAAAAATAACTCCTACACTCAGGTCATCCTCTTGATGATACAACACAGTTCAGCTGGACAGTCACCCATTTTTTTCCTTCCAGTCAATCAAGCTGTCGCTAAACCAAATATTGACCTAACATTGAGAGAGAGAGAAAGGTGGCAAAAATTTGTTTTAACTAAACCTAATTAATGTTAAGAGAACTAACACTAATCGAAGGATACCTGTACAGACATTAGTAATACTTACTTCATGTGGTCTTTGATGTTAGTACAGTATGGTGACACCAACACATATTGGCTGATAATGTAGTTCCATAGTGTCAGATATATTCTGTTTTTCTGATCAGGGTTGAAAATGGCAGCAGCAAAACAGGAGAAGTGAGTGAAAGAGATGGCAAAGTAAATGACTCTCAAGAAAAGAGCAAGAAAAAGAAGAAGACCTCAGGAGAGTCATCAAAGGACGTATCTAGTAAATTACGAGACTCTACAAGGTCCAAAACGGATTCTGTGTCCGAGAAAGATCCATTAAAATTACTAAGGCGACGAGCAACCTTACAGAGGTCCAACTCACTCGACTCTACAAACTTCAGGTCAATTAGTCAAGAGGTGAGTGAGGAGTGTGTTGGTACATATCGTCTTGTAGGGATGAGCAGATGGTTATGAATCATTTAAAAATAATATCTCTTGTGTTGATCATCTGATGAATAGCCCCTCAATTTATTTTTTCTAATGCTGATTTAACCTAATCTGCCTAACAATACCTAATCTATTCTACCCCATCCTAACCTAACCAAACCCACCAGGTAACATTAGGGTATTTATTCATCAATTAAAATAAGCTGGAGGTAATCTTCAGGTGATTCTTTTGTACAGTAGATTATTGTTTATATAATTATTTTCATACATTACTAAACTGAAAGTAATTCTTTTTTGTATAGGATGTGAGAGACTCTAAGAAAGCCGCTGAAATTGTTTCTCCAAAGAAGGGGATCCTGAAGCGTCGCAACTCCTTCAGTTTAGGCATGGCAGTGTCTCCTGAAGTGCCAACACCTGACACACATTACCAAACTATCACTGTTGGAGACACAAGGTTAGTGTGAATAGTTTTTGTCTAATGTCTCTTAAGATAGTTGGGACATATTAAGAAAATTTGAGGCAAACAATTGATAAAACTACACATGAGTGGATCTTAGGAGAGAAAGTAGAAGGATGGGATGGGGCAACACTGGAGGGGAGGATGATGGACGTTCAGGAAGCAGTAGATGTGTGCATGATCATGAAACATGATTGGTGTCTCGTGCTATATAGGGGTGGGCAGAATACATTGGTGCTGTATGAAGTAACTTGAGCGAATCAGATTTATGTTTTGGGGCCATATTGTGATTGGAGGACGCCATAGTGGAACAACTAGTAATGGAAGAAGAAAAGACATGAAACTGTCATTAAAAGATTAGTCTGTCATTATTTTATTTAGCTATTCATGTGCTGTACCAGGAAAGATCTTATAAAAGGGGAAAATATAATCCTTAACCAGCAGCTGAGGATTCATATGTACAACACTTAAACACAAGGAAATTCCACTGATGATGGCTGCCATTTAAGGGTCAAGAACAAAACTTACTACTGTTATAACATATTAAGATGAACAATAAAGGTAGTGATATGTGTTGTATAATAAGTTCATGACTGCTTTCACCAGTGACGAATCCAATATTTTACAATAATCAGTATTTAAAATTTTTGAATACAGCATTGTATTGTAGGTGTGTAATTGTACATTAGCAGTAAAATTTTCACATGTCTGCACAGTACTGTATTGTATTGTGTATTTAAAGTATTTTAAACACTTGGGCTATTGTACAAGTACCTTTAGCTGAAAAACATTGGCACTTCAGAAACTTATGGATTCATTAACTTGTGAAAACAGGGAGATGGGTCTATTGTCTTGCCTTGTCTAATGTACTGTACACTCCTTCCCTTAATGCTAACTTAAGTGAGGACACAACAAATATTAATAGAAGAACAAGCTGTGATCTTCGGTAAGGTGTAACAAAATGACTTACTTATACAATTTATTACATTTTAATTTGTACAGTGAAATTATGATGAGTATTTTTTAATGAGCATTGAAGATCTAGATATAAATTGTTCTTGTATATAAAATTATTTTTAAATAATGAGTATAGGCAGTGTACGTATAGTATTTTTGTGTGTGGGGTAATATTACATTGTGTTTGGTATTCATTTTTTTTTATTATTTTAACAGACTTCGATCTGCCTTCGAGAAAGTGTGACGAATGAAGATGGAAACAGCAAGCTCAATGGAAATGAAACTCTCAGCTCTCCTTATTCAAGTCAAAGAAGAAGGACCAGAGTCCTGTAAGTGTTTCAGTGAATTAAAAGTTTTACTCAAGATTTTTTACCCAAAGTGAAGCCTGGCCCATGTTGCATAAGTATGAATGTAGATTATCAGTGTGGGTTGTGGTTTTTGGTACGGATGACAGTGTGGGTGTCTGGGTGTGACAGTATGAGTGTGGGTGTTGGTGTGGGTCTGGCTGTGAGTGTGGGTGACAATGTGGATATGGATTTGAGCGTTGGTGTGAGTGTGGATGCAGGTGGTATGCAGGCTAGTATGTGTAAAGTTTTGAGTTGCTTTTGTTTCACACACACTTTCCTTACACCAGTCTTCCTTATCACCATAGGCCTCCCCTTTCTTCAAGTTTGTATTTCCCTTGATTCACACCATAACCAAAGAAGGGGTAGAGGAAAGCAAGAGTAAAATGTAGATAAAAAATAAGAATGTCCAGAATAACTAATACACTGTACTAACTATATCCTCAAATTACAGAAAAAACCACAGCTCGATTTAACTGAGGGAAGAAAGCCATGTGGGAGATGAGGGAACTGGCGAAGGAGGTAAGTCCAGCATGACAAAACGGAAAGAAACCTTGAATTCCATTTTTTATCTGAACCTTTTATATTGGAGGTGCTTCAGATGAGAACAAGACAAGCAACAAAGCATCTTAATATCTGTTTATTATAATACAGTATACCATTACTAAACTGTAGGTGACTTTTCTGACATGTTTCACTTAGTGTTGTGTATCTATTTTTCACCTACAGTGCCTCAAATTTGTCCATTGTTACAGAAAGGAATAATTCTAGAAATAGTCAGTATTAAGAAAGTCAATAATTCTAATGAAATTTTTCTTTAGAGATGTTAGAGTTGGGGATGATAATCTTTTTCCCTCTACAGGTGGACTTCAATAAATGCCACATAGACCCCGCACCCTTCCAGTTGGTCGAGAGAACATCCCTCTTACGTGTCCACTCCATGTTTTCTATGCTGGGCATCAACCATGCTTACGTCACTGCTATTGGACGACTCATAGGTGTTCTAGCACTAAAGGAGGTCAGTAGTTTTGAGCACCTTGTTTATTGGGGATTTCCAAGCTTCTTGTAGATTACCTAACCTTAATCTAACCTGACTCAATTTGACTTAACCTATTCCTAAACTAACCAAATTAAATGTAACCTAACCTAACTGGACCAAACCTAACTGAACATGTAATTCTTATGCTTAAGCTCAAGTCAGGGTGGGGCTTGTTAGTGCTAGGTTGAGATCCTATTGGTTAAGTCTGTGTTGGTCCATTTGGCCAATCACCACATGTTATTTTTTTATTACTGATGTTCTGTTGCTCTCTCCTTCCCACTATATGAAATTATGTGTCTCACTCAAAGAACCAGTTGTGTTTTTCTTGTTTTCTTATTCATTTGGTCTCTTTAATTAAGGGAATTGTGATTAAAACTAGGAGAGGATGTATTACTGTGACTATTGTCCTTTAGTTACAGAGAGAGATAAAAAAAGTAGAAATCATATGAATGATTTAGTTACTGTTCCTCCCTGTCTAATGCTATTTCATCTTCCGCTATCTGTCATAAATCAAGCATTTTTTAAATTGAACTCGGTAACCCATCAAATGCCAACTTTACAGGTTACATTATGGCCATCGACGGACAATCGTTGGCCAGCCCCAGAGTACAACCCCACAAGTCAGCTTACCCAACACGCCCACATCCCCCATCGTCATCAATTGCATCAAGCACGTCACCTCAGAGATTGGGAATCATCAGTCCATTGCAATATTCTGACCCTGAGGCTGGAACTATCTCTCACAGGGGGTCCAGAACCCAATTGGTTAACTATCCTAATGGTCACTCATACAGCTGAGGAAGCAAGAATTTAGTAGATGGAGTGAATTTGTAATAATTTTTAAAAACCTCTGTGATCTGTGATGTTGCCCGTGGACAGTGGTTGTTTTGTACCAGTCAATGTCTTAAATAATCAGTGTCTGGTAGTTATTCCTTTGAACTAAGATATCAGACGATATTGTTGACTATGTATAATGTAATTTTACCAAAGTTGAGGACATTCCAGTATTATATTGAAGTTGATTTATAATAGTCCATTATGCAGTACATGTCTAGGCTGTTTGTTTGTTTCTTATCTGTTACTCTACCTGTTAATCTTCCATCTACATAACACTCATCACAGATCTCAAATAATGCAATTATGATTTTTTAGTATTTGTTAAGACTCACTGAACAATACTTGCTGGACATGTGTAGAATATTGTAAAGGAATGATTATTGTGCCTCTCCTACTCTCCTTATCTGCTCGGATGACGTAGAGAATAAGTAGTACAGTAGACATATCTTACTTCTTTGTTAGTAGTATATTTTTTACTTACTTTTTGTTTAGCTCTCTTAGTGGCCTTAAATTATGGGGTAAGTTTTGTGAAACATAAGTTCAATAGTATAGTATACCTACAGTATATACTTTATGATTTGGGTTGTGTTACATCAGCTGAAAATTCAAGGGAAACAGGATTATCACTTCACTGCACTGAAGGTTTTGTTAAGCACCAACACCTCACCTAACTTGATCTGGTCTGACCCACATACTCTCCTCACTTGACCAGATTATCCTCCCACCCAGTACATACATGTTTTTAAATATTTGCCAGAAAAGAGAGTAAACTTTTCCTTTCATTTTTTAATCTTCAACTTGGGAGAGTCCAAAAATGTTTACACAATAAAAATTTAAAATTTCATAGGATTGCACTCTGCAGAGAAATCCTGCTGGTTCATTTCAAGGCCCATAAATCAGTTCTTAACAAACCTTCTGTGCACTTATATTTTTGTCCTCTGATGTTTTATGCTCCTATCCGACCTCTGACTACCCAGGTCCTCTCTCTGTGATATGCCTTGCTGAACTGAATTGAACTGCTAGTGCCTAATTCACAGTTTTAATCTCCTGTTTCTCCTAAACTATTTCACACATTAAACTTAATATTATTTTTAAACTACATATTCTTACATTGCAACATTATATTCACAACTTTACAAACAACTCTTATTATCAGGCTTCAAGTTGCATCTTGGTGACTCTTGCAATGAGCACTGATGTACATGAGGCAGGAGACAGCAGGCAGGAGAGGCAGTCAGCCTCTTTCCTGCACTACAACTCTGAATGTTCATGTCTCACATGAGCCAATGTCTGGTTGTGCAGTGTCCTTCATCACTGACACCCACATATGCATTAATACATACACCACCATTTCACATACATTACCATAATTGGTGTTTATAAATATACAGGTATCCCTCCTTTAATGATGGGGATGCATTCCTGAAAACCGATCGTTAAGCGAAATGATCGCTAAACGAGGGATAACGAGAAATAATATACGTGGAGATGGCATATAATTATCTATCTGTGTGTTAATGTTCAACTCATAATTTTGGGTAGATATACTTAATTTTCTTTACTCTGTTACATGCACACAATTGTTCATACAGAATACTGTATGCAAAAACAAAATAATTATCATAAGGTAAAAAAATAAAGGTAATAAGCATTTCTTATGTGGTCGGCAGTTAGCCTACAGAGTGGAGGAGGAGAGCGGCGTGGGGGATGTCTCAGCTGTTCACTGTCTCGTGTCCTGTGAAATTATTGCCAACTGGAGATGCAGGATTTTTATTTTGTTTTATTCACTATTACAATATTATATTTATTTATGCCTCACATTTACTGGTACAGTATACATGCAACACAGTTCATTTGGCAGTCACCAAGCCGACTCACTCTTAGAGACGTGTGTGGCTGTTGCCTGTATGCTGTGACATCACTAAAGGGAGGGAGAAGGCGGCTGTTGGGTTTCAGCTCACTGCCTCAACAATACAGTAATAATAATGGTTGCCCATTATGTAATGAGGATTATCGGCCCAAAGGCCACAGGCGTGAATTTGTTTAAGGTGTAGATGCTGTCACCAACATAACATGACACCCTAAGTTAACCACTTGCTTGACCCAGTGTCAAGGAATAGTCCGAGAAGACCAGACAACTGGCAACTGCACTGTCTAACCATTACCCTGGAACATGATCCGCAAATCAATTAACTTCCTGGTTCCCACCCATGCTCTTCATTTTTATTATTTTATAGTTTTATAGTATACAGTACAGTATTTTCTTTATTTTTAAGCCGCATTATAGTACTGTATTGTAATGATGCGCACTTGGAGCACAGAATCCTCAGTTTTTCTGACTTCCTTCTCGAGTTTTTCCCAGTAAGTCAAAGATTGGCAAATCGAAAATTGACGACCATTAAATGAGAAAGTTATAAACTTTAGATCGCTAAATCAAAAAATCGCTAAGTGAACGATTGTTAAACGAGGGATACCTTTACAGTACAGTATCAGAAATTCTTTGGGTACTTACAGCAGATTATGATTTTATTAAAGAATATTGCAAATGCCATATGAAAATTCCTCCCCAGACATGTGCCTCTTGCACTCCATATATGGAACTTGTTCTGGGTGTTTTATGCTATGAGCACTCCCTGCATACTATTGTTAAATTCTTGTATACTTAGCCGTTTGGTTAGGGGAAAAAATTCCTTAAATTAAATTTTTATTAAATGAAACACTGAGACTAAGGTAATATCATAGGACCTTGTTGTAGAGGGGAAGCACCATAGCAAACCACATGTGTTATGGTACCTGTAGTGAGAATGAGTGACAGTGGAAGACCAGAATCTCTGTTGGCATTGATTCTGGCCGTCCTGCAGTGAAGTGAGATAAGGCTTGCAATTGTGAAATTAAAAGAGTTATCCCTCATAATTGTACTGCCATTTCTATTTCTATTGATGAAACTGGAAGATAACCAATAGATTTTTGTATTGCCTGTGATGGAAGGATCTCTTTAAAGATATCATGGGTTAAAACAAATGATCAATCAATTCTCAAAAAATAGAAAATAAAATGGAAAGTTAAACTGAATTCTGTGATGCTTATGATGTAAGTGTCTTTTGAATGATACAAAAAGTAACCAAATGACCAATAAATTAATGAGAAAAATAATTGTACATGGGAAGACCAACTGCATTTCATACGGCTATTAATGATGGAGAACAGTTTTCTGTGATAAATATGTTATCAGCAATATAGCTATGCAATATTTCCTGTTTTTAAAGTAAGTAGTGGCAGGTTTTAGTTCCATGACTCTAACTGCTATCATTATGACTAAGTAATTATATGTAATAATTTATTTATAGCATTGTAATGTGCTATTACTAACATAAATTGATATTCAACAATGTTTTCCTGAAGCATTATTATGTGATATAATGAAATCTTGTGTTAGTTACTGAAACATTGGCACAAATATGTCTTTCACTTATTAGTCGGTAAGTGGCGTGTAGGTAATGTTTTACGTTGAAACATTGATACATAAACTTCTATGTTCCTCAGTGCAGAGCATCATGTAAGTTTTTTTTACAAAGGGACTAAACTCACAGTGTAGGAAGTATTTTAATATATATATAGATATATATATAAAGCCTATTTCTAACTACATGTGAATCTCAAACTTTGTTATTACATGTGTATTGTATTATATTGTGTTTTAATTGTCCTCTCCATAAGTTAGATCAGTATAATTGGTGGTGTTGGTAGTACAGCAATAACATGTTTCTCTCACTGTTGTTGTGTCCTGAGTTCAATCCCTGACATGGAACTTATGTGAGAAAGGTGCTATCATGTGTGATTCGAGATAATCCAATTTCCTCCTGCACAAATACTGGACAATATATACATAAGTCATATTGAACTACACTAACAAAAAACAGACCGACCACCCAATGGCTAATTACTTTGATAAGTGGTGAAATGATAAATACAGTGATAGTATCAATAAATGCCTATTATACAGTACAGTACAATATTGATATGTTGAACATAATCAAAATTTTCAGGATGAACACTAGAAAGGAGTGGATTTAGAGTGCTACTATAGACGGGTGTGTGGCCTACAAGATATTTAGATTAAGTTCGCTTAGGTCAGGTTAAGTTATGTTAAACTAAGGACATATATATATATATATATATATATATATATATATATATATATATATATATATATATATATATATATATATATATATATATATATATATATATATATTATATATATATATATATATATATATATATATATATATATATATATATATATATATATATATATATATATATATATGCGGCGGTCCCTAACTGACCTCACCTGAAGAATCGTCACATTTATTAATTTTAGATTGTTTTTGTCTGGATCTGAGAAATTGACATGGCAGACATTGACTCGGTATTAACAACACTGCTCCCCATTCTTAATTGGGGCAGTAATGATCAGTGAGTCCTAACATTAGTTCTTTAAACATTTTCACCAACGTGATCCCAGCCTGTCCCAAGTTACAGAAGGTAACCATAAGGCCACCACTCGGCGGGGGGCGATCTTTGTAACCCCTTTGCACCTGAAGAAATAAAAAACTTCTTCAGGATGAGGTTTAAGTTTTATGCAGGTGTGGAGGAAAAGGGATTCACCCGTACCACCGCCATCTTATTCCATTCAGAAAAGTCACCTAAATGTTTTTTCACTGGTTAATGTGTTCGGGGGTAAGCGTTGACTGGGAAATTTCCCACCACTTCTACATTAACCGACACCCCTTGAGTAAAGTCGGAGTTTGTTAACAGTTTAGGTGAAAGAATCATATTCATGAATAGATTTCATTCGTGTGAATACATAATCTTATCCCGAATTGATAGTGTAGGTGAATATGGCAGTATCCATGTGTGGCGCCAACACAAGGCAGCAGAACCAGATGACTGAGGCTACATCACCACCACCACCACCAGGTGACTGTGGCTACATCACCACCACCATCACCAGATGACAGGAGGCTACATTACCACCACCACCACCAGATGAATGAGACATCACCACCACCACCACCACCAGATGACTGTGGCTACATCACCACCACCATCACCAGATGACAGGAGGCTACATTACCACCACCACCACCAGATGAATGAGGCATCACCACCAGCAGATGACTGAGGCATCACCAAGCTGGAGTTGTGCTAATATATATATATATATATATATATATATATATATATATATATATATATATATATATATATATATATATATATATATATATATATATATATATATATATATATATATATATATATATATATATATATATATATATATATATATATATATATATATATATATATATATATGTGATACAAAAGAAAGAGAAAACAAGTTCCAGCGCTTTGTAATTCACATCTTCAGGGGTGAGTACAGACTGTACTCACCCCTGAAGATGTGAAACTGTGTTTTCCTTAGTGGTTATCAGCATATACCTAGATCACAGCGCACCTACAGTGATTTACTTGCATATATATATATATATATATATATATATATATATATATATATATATATATATATATATAT